AGAAGAGGTGGTGGCAGCATTTCTGCGCAATGGAGCCGTTGGAAGATATTCGGCAGATTGGGTATCGCAGCACAAAAAAAGGCCCCGCCGGCTAAAGCTAAACGGACGCACGGAAGCTCTGTCTTAGTCCCAATGGCGGCTAAATAGGTGGTTCACGGGCTCGGCGAGGCTGGTTTATGTGGTTAGGGGCCGTTATTCTTCATGCTAGAGGAGATTTGGGAGGGCGAGAGATGACACCTTGAATGAGGGTGGTGTGGTCAGGTCTGTTGGAAGAATATGAGGTGTCTATCGTAGTTATTTCATCAATCAGCAAGCCATGTGGATAGCGGGACAGCAGATGGTACTTGACAGAGGGGACTGATACGAGGGAAGCAGATGGACATGGTGGAGGTGGAGATGGCAATGAGAATGGCGTTGAAGGCTCTGGCAATGGTGATGGTGATGGGCGATAGCGATGTGGATGTTTGATGGAAGAGGATGTGGAGGCGGTCAGGGGCCAAGGCCAAACCACGAAGCTCCCCACAATCTGCGGGCGCAGGCACTGAGTGCGTGAGGTGCAGTGAGAAGCAGGGAGTGACTGGTCCACAGATCCATCATCAGCATCAGCCATCCATCCATCAAGGATTCCTCAGACGAATACCACGTCCTACTAGTCAATGCCTCTCTTTTTCCGACATTACGCACTTACGGACAATAATGTACAGTAGCATGTATGTACCACCAGTACCGCCTATTCCCACTTTATCACTCATCAAATTACCACCCACACGTACCACCTACTTTGCTACCCCCCTTCACTCCCCTCCTATCTTCCATCGACCTCATCGAGACCTTTTCACTGGCCGTTTCGAACAGCATCCAGAACTGACTGTTACATAGGACTGCCTCTACTCGCCCTTTATCCCTCTCCCTGTTCTACGTTGCCTGCGCGACAGGTCGGACAAACGGTGACAAATTCACCTCGTTGGCCAGTCTAAAGTCGCTCAACTTCGACGCTCCATTCCTCCTACCTACCGTAGCTTTTTCCCTTAGCTCGTCTCCATCCTAATCGAACTCACTACTGCATGCACCTGAACGAGCCAATTCTGGTCCTACTTCTTCTTTTCCTTCTGGAGTCCTTCCATGGCTCTCTGGTCGACCCTGGTTACATAACGCCCGGGGCCTCCCAACCCAAACACCCCTGCTCGAGACCCTAGTCCTGCGATCATTCCCGTGGTCCATTCTTCTCCCTCTACTCTCGCCAGGGAACAAGCACACCACCCTTTGAACCTCCTGGCGCGACCTCTAGCACCAACCAGGTATCTTAGCCCGTCATGCATGTGGTTGAACTGAACCATTTCCCCGGTCAAGATTGCCCTTGTTATTCCCACAGTTTCCCCGGATTCTTCCATATGGCCAGTGGCACGAGTTCAGGCAGTATGACCCAGCAGCATATTATGCCGCCGGTTTTCTTCTCCTCGTGGCATTGATCTCGGACAAACTCATTGTTCTGTACACCAGAAGTCCAGTGAAAGTGATACAGGAGGCGCTCTGCACGCGTCTGCAACTTCTGCACCTCCCTTGCTATTCTCTGCCTAATCGACCACGCTCCACCAATCTCCTTGTGAGTAGGTGTTCTGTCGATCCCTGACTACCTCGGCCTCAAGGTCATTCAGAGTATCATCGCGCCCACCTGGGAGATTCTCAGAGAAACTCCGTTCTCATACACTCAAGTCCTGGCACTCTGGGCAGCTCCCCGGGTTGCAAGGTCTCAGCGCTGTCGTGACGTCTGGTCCCGTGCCCGCTTTTGGCCAGGCCCATCTATATTAGGAGTCCATAGTGCTCGGTGGACTGCTGTTGTGTCATTCCCTAGCAGGATTTCCAGATTTCTGGGTCCCTTTCAGGATGTTTCATACATTTGAGACTGCGCAATATCACAGCCCTGAGCAGACCGACCAAAATGCAAGCTCGGCCGCAAAGCGAAGGACCTCTACCGTGAGGGCTTGTGAGCCCTGTCGACGTCGCAAGATCAGGTGCAGTGGAGAGCATCCATGCGAAACCTGTCAATGGTACCGGAAGGCTGCGTCTTGTCATTACACCGAGCCTAGACAACGGCAGATGCCCTCCAGGCGGTGAGCAGAGTGACTTCTCGCACCTATTTTGCCAGTCTCTGACATTTCATCTACAGGTCTGTTGAGAAGATCTCTCAAACGCTACAGGAATATCGAGGTATCCTACAAAAGCTCTTTCCAAATGTGCACCCAGACCAGCTGAAAGAGCTCCCTCGCGAAAGACTCGTAGAGCTCATCCAGAAGAGCAGTCCATTCCATCCCCCTTCACCTCGAACACCCAGCGTGGAGGAGAAGCCGCCTCCTGTGAATCCTGATGCTGCCAACCTCGAAAAGCTGCAACCAACGCCAGAGGACAGCAATGATGGATTTTCTGACCGCAAAACTCAGGCCCTGAAAGGCATCACGGACGACGTCAACATGCTGTCCCTGTCAGTTAACCAAAACTCATCATATCTTGGAATATCTTCCGTGATGGCGGTGCTGAGAGTCATCACTTGGCTCGATCCAGACTGCCTGACCAAATCTCCCGAGAGGAGTGCAGTTCCCACCCGGGAAGCATCACCGGCATCAGAGAATCCGAGAATGGATCCTGGTCAGACAAGAAACGACGCCACTTCAACATCCGCCTGGGACGAGATCCCCTTGATCAATGCATACTTCAGCTATGTCCACCCCTTCATACCCTTGATCGAGGAGCAAGTCTTTCGGGACACGTACATGACGGCACAAAGAACTGATTCTCGATGGCTCCTACTCTTAAACAGTGTCCTGGCCATGGGCAGTGTGGCAGCAGGGACGTCGGAGGATGCAGGTCACCACGTCTACTTTAACCGGGCGAAGCAATATCTCAACTTGGACACCTTGGATTCTGCCCATCTCGAGACTGTTCAAGCCCTTGCCATTTTGAGCGGCTTCTATCTTCATTACGTCCAGATACCCAACCAGGCAAATGCTTTGATGGGCGCCACCTTGAGAGTTGCTACCACGCTGGGACTTCATCGAGACTACACCGAGGGGGTTGGGCCCGCAAAGGTCCACAAGGCATCCTTCTCGATCGAGATGCGTCGCAGGATATGGTGGTGTACGTTCATTTTAGACGCCTGGGCCGGCAACACTCTGGGAAGACCGAGCATGGGCCGAATGAGCCACGCCATAACAGCGAAACCGCCTCAAGAGCCCATAGGTCAGTCTATGGCCATGCTAGCTCTGGTGCAGGAGAACGTTCGCTTCTGCATCATCAGCACAAGAATGGAAGATGCCCTGGCTGTTTCTCCTCTCTTGGAAGAGTATGAACGCTGTCCTCTGGACGCCCTCTATCTTGAGTGGTACAAGCATTCATCCGTCCAGGCGGACTCTTCACGTGCGACTCCCAACGAGCCTCCCGGCGTTACTGTCGTCAAGAATGTGATGAGATGGCGGTACTTGTCGAATCGAATTATTCTCCACCGCCCTGCCCTGCTCTGGTATGCCATGCGCAAGATCGCATGGGAGAGCCTCTCTCCAGAAAGGCAAGCTGCGATTGAGCTTTGTCGTGCTGTATGTGCAGATCTCATCGATGACATTGCTTCCACCTGGCGAGGTCAAAAGGAATGTCAGATGTCTGGTTGGAACGCCACGTGGCTTATTTATCAAGCTGTGATGGTTCCACTTCTCTCGCTCTATTCGGATCCTCACGACGTCGATGTAGTGGATAGCAGCCGCCATCAAGTTGAAGTCGCTGTGCAAGTCCTGAAGGAGCTGCAGGCCTGGTCCTCTACCGCTCGCCGGTCGTTGGAGGTCGTCATCCGGCTGTATGACGCCAGCAAACGGCATTCTGCCGCCCTCCAAGAGTACCAAGAGACATATCTGCCAAACAACATCGAGACACCAACGTCCTCGACCACGCCAGCTGCACAACACGCACAGTTAACGGCAATGTCGGCGTCGGCGGCTTCGTCTTTCCGCCCCACTTACATTGATGTCTCATTTGCCAACACCTACGGTAACCCGGACGAGCTCAACACGGCCACTCAAGAACTGTTCATGGACAACATGTTTGACACGCTGAATTGGAGTACAAGCTGGGACAGTCCCATTGGCGGGACCCCGATGATGAACGGCTGGGATTACAGCTCCATGCATCACTGGGCGGGAATCCCCCAGGCGGATGAATATTTTGGCGGATTCGGTCTGCCTGACGACCCAAGCAGCCAAATTCCTGGAGGGGTTGCAGGAACAGGGGTCGGCAGTGGGACGGACCCAGCAGGGGTCTCGTTCGATGTGGACATGCATGCCGCCGCTAATCTGGGGGACATGATGAACAGACACTATGCACCAACAAGTAGTACGGGCATGGATCATCAGCACTCGCGATGAAAGAGGCAAAAGGGGGAACCGAATGAACGCAGCTACATGTGGTTCCACATTTTTGGGACGAATGCACGTTTTGTTTGCACTTTGGCGCTCTAGCGGGCGTACTGTCAAGAACCAGAAACAGAAAACAACAAGGGACGTAACAGCACGAAGAAGGCGATACAACGCTTCATGAAGCGAAAGGGGGCCAAGGGGGTTTCTCTCACCATTCCCTTTTGGTTTTGGTTTTTGCTCTTTCTAATTGTCTACTTCCCTTTATGGGAATGCATGGCACAGGGCGGGTGTATGAGCAATGCAGAACAGACATAGGCCAAGTGCATATGCTATATGATATCTATCTATCCTATCTGAGAGGAATAGTAGACACGATGGCCGGCTCGGTGCCGAAATCTAAGCAAGACATGACATGACATGACATGACAAGATTGCTCTGCGATTTCTCTTTCTTTCTCTCCCCCCGTCCACCTACATTTGCGTACATCTATAATTCTGTATCTCTAGATTCTAATAAGTAACTTCTTCTTCCCCATTCACTTCCATTCAAGTCTAGGTTTCATGGCGTAATCTCTGCGCGCGCGGTTTCGGTCGCGGTCGCGTCTACCAACCGAATTTCTCGGCCCAGACATCAATGTCCCAGCCTCCCTGGCGGACAAGGTCGGCAGCGACGTTTCGCACGTCGCGCACGAGGCCGTCTGGGCCGGAGACGATGATGCAGATCTTCTCCCTGGTCCTGTCTGCGGTGCTCTGCTTGTCTGCTCGTGAAGAAATAGATTCGTTCGTGACTTTAAAGTTCAGTTTGGGGGATTGTAGCGCCGATTGTGATGAAGAGGAAGAAGAAGACGGGAGCGGATCTGGAGAGCAGTCCTCTAGTGTCGTAGAAGAAGAGGAGGAAGACGATGAAGGATAAAGAGGTTTTCTAGCAGCGTCGGCTAGAGAGGACGAGGAGACGGACGTGATCCAGCTGTAGATCTCGCTTTGCATATCTGGTCGAACGTGTTGGCAGCCCGGAGATCTTGTGTCGAATGCCCGCGTTACTAAACTCCCGGCTTCGTCATTCCCTTGCTCTGTTCCAGCAGGAGGGGTCGCTGAGTCTTGATCATCTTCGTCATCGTGGAGTGACTTGACCGCACTCGCTCGCGGGACCATGCAGATCCACTTTCCATGCAGCACCTCTTGCCTTACCCAGAAGTGTGCGTAGTCGGGGTCTCCGTCGGCCGGAGCAGACTCTGCAGTAGTGGATGGCACAGTCTTCACACCATTCTCATATGTGGTCCTTGTGCTCAGGAAGGGTCCTGCATCTGCGCTGCTATCCTGTCGGACACGGACTGCCCAGGAAAGCGGATAGGTGACTGCGATACCGCTGCCACCTGCGACGAAGCAGACGCGATCTGCTGACTGTGCTGCGTGCAGCGCTGAGGTACTGCCATAAGGACCGTCAAGAACGACTTCACAATGTTGATGGTGGCGGGCGTAGCGCAGAAGGTCGAGAGAAAAGCCGTCGATTGCGCGGATCGTGAGCTGAAGAGGCCACGATCCTCCAGACGCTGAACTTCCTGCTGGAGCCGGTGAAGCTATCGTGAATGGGTGCGCCTGAAAGCGGTACTTGAAACCCATGGAGGGGATGGTGAGAAATACGTGCTGGCCGGGAGACCACCCGCGGTAGAGATTCGTTTGTACCCCCAGAAGAAGATTTTGGCGGGACAACGGAATATTGCAGTGGACCAGAACAGTGTCCCCATCTGGAGCAACTTCCAAAGTTGCAATAAATTTTCGAGATGATATCGTCATGCGCCAGAGGAGCCTGTCGACGGCCCAGACTGCAAAGGCCGCGCAGACGTATAACTGAGCCGTAGGATAGTGGAAGAAAAGAAATACCAGAGCGGCGAACTGGAATATGACGTGTACCACCAGAAACGATTCATAGTAAAGACGGCGGAACCAACCGATGCTCGTGAGGTAGATGAGATAGTACGAAATCACTGCACAGAAACCGAGAATAACGACTTTGCTAGTCATATAACGGAGTAGGTTCCAGCCTAGAGGACGGAGGATGGTGTACCAGACAGCAAGCATCCCAAACATATGAATGACAGCGAAGCAAGTCATCCACTCTCCAAGACGACGGTGGAAGATGTTGAGTCCTTCGTAGGAATGTCCTGTCAGGCATTTGAGCGGCTGGTTGTTTTTGGCGGCGAGTAAGTAGAGGACTGGAAGATTTGCAAGGAAGAGCAGACCAGCCCGATCGGCGAGAATAAAGATCCATGGCAATGACAACGGGACACGGTAGAAAAGGTAGAAAAGGTTGACGGCGAGAAAAAAGAGGACAGCGAGGGTGATGGCATTGTTCGGGAGGACGTTCGAGGGAGCTGTTAGTGCTGGGATGGGTCGAGGCTGGAACATCAAGAAGGACTTCAGTCGATCCGCAAGGGGTGGCCGTCTTCGAGAAGTCGGATATGACCGTGACAGCAAGGGTGTTGTCTCTCCATTGTCCAAACAATCTTCTTTCTGCGAAGGTGTACTTGTCCCAGTCGATGTACCGCTTGATGAGGGTGAGGGGTTGGGTGCGACAGCCGCATAGTTGATAAGTCTCTGATCATTCTTGTCCCATCTCTTGCGTCGGTGCGCTGCCCTCCCAAAGTGGACGCCACCCACAATAACGATTGCACCGACAATCCATAAATAATATGTCACGATGAACTTGCGATGCCAGAGGACGGCGGCGATGATCTTGCGGAGGTGGTCCGGTGATGGTACCCCGCTAGTCTCTGCTAGAAGTGCGACAAGACTATCAGAAGATTTCAAGGAGAGGCGGAGAATGTCGAGGCATTCTTCAGGTGATAAAGCGTCGTCCATGGGTCTCGACAGGTTGCACAGAGAGGAGGAACAATGATTGGGAGACAACGCAGTTGCATCTTATCATGATAAGATCCTGATCTGGCGGGCGAGCGGGTAAAATATTGTCAGGAGATGAGCGTGGCGCCGCTCTATCCATTGGCTCCCCCCTTTAGTACAACCATGTATTTTATCAACTGCCGCTTTTAGTGACTTGAGGCAGAACAAGAACTCGCGGTGGATATGTTCTTGATGCGTGGGAAGAGAAACGACCATCTATCTATCTATTCACTGGTCGGAGTATACATGTAAAAATACAGGCCTAAACCCTATTTTTGTACATACAAGCAACGTGTTTATGTTGCAAGAAACCCCTCTGCTAAGAGGTGGATTGTGGCACATCAACGGCTCTGTCTGCCACCACCATGATCATCCGTCTGGTTTCCATCCAAGGATGACTTTGCAGAGTTGACGACCGCGCCCTCATCAAAGACATGCATGTTCTCCCAGCTCGAGGAACTTTCGAGGAGACGTTCTTGTTCGACGTCGGGCATGGCTGAGGAATTTGGCTGGATTGGCGAAGTACCCCTTTTCCTGCGGCAAAGCTTGACGGTGAAAGTGAGGCCGGCCATTGCGACGATGAAGACAACCATCATCAATACGGTCGTGGAGATCATGGAGCTGCTGAAGAGAGAGTTAGCGAGCGATTCCATCCTGGAAAACGGTTGGAAGTAGATCATATGAAAAGCTTAAAAGGAGTCAGGGGTGGGTTGGCCCAATCTCACCTTCTGGTAGCCTTTGTCGATTCCGGGGATTCGGGAGTAGGCTCGTGTTGTTCCTCTGCAGGCACACCCGCCTGCTGCTCTTTTTGGTCGCTCTCTAGAGAGCTGCATGAGATCGCGGGTAACGGGCGATCCCTATGCTGCAGCTGCAGCTCTAGCGGCGCCTCGATCAACGTCGCGACCAGACCTGTTTCTACGTGCCATTCCATGTGGCAGTGGAAAAGCCAGACGCCAGGGTTGTCGGCTCTGAATCGTAAGACCATGAAGCCTCCGGGTTCCAGCAAGAGCGTGTCTCGCCTGATTGGAGTCCGCGGATAGTCTTCCTCCACGAGACCGCTGGTGAAAAAGCTGCCGGCCTTTGGGGCAGAACGGTAGACGGCTTGGAAATTGTGGCCATGCAGATGGAAAGGATGGCGGACCATATGGTGGTTGTAGAGGATGATCTCCACGACCGAGTTGTGCTGCAGGACAAAAGGGTTGGTTGTGGAGCCATATATGGAGTCGTTTGTTGCGGATGGACCACTGGACAAAGCTGTGTAAAGCGACGGAATCTCTGGGGCTGCGTATCGCGTCTTGTTGAAGAACCATCTGGACACAGAGTGAGCTACTTGTGCGAGTATAGATGGACCCGAGCAGAGAAGAACGGGCGGCGCTTACTTGATGCCTCCAGCATGTGACATTCCCAAGCTCAGGACGATGCTCTGGTCTGGTCGAGGAAGCAAAGACATTTCATCGTATGGTTCCAACGTCACATCATCAAAGGGATTAAAAGAGTCAATCACCTGAGGCTGTGGCAGTGGTTGATCGGGCGCATAGACCAGCCATCCTGTCACATTCTGGCTTGCGCTACTACGTATCTTGGACAAGGTCTGCGAAAGATTTGTTAGTCAAAACCCGAGCAAGAGAGAGTGATGAATGGGCATACGGGATCCATGGAAGCCACCACGGGATAATTCCTGTGCGGTTCAGCCTGGGTGGTGACGAGGAAGCTGCAGCGCTGCCCAGACGAGAGGTATATCATGGCAGTTTCAGCGGGCTTGGTGTAGACGCCGTCCACCTCAATGATCCTGATCGAGTGATCTTCAATCCAGAAGTACTGACCCGCGAACGCGGCCATGTTGACCAGACGAACCAAGTACGTTCGTTCAGGTACGACGGGGATATGGAGGTTCTGTGTATCGTTCAGCAAGTTGGCGTCCGGCACAGGTTCCTGCGACATCATGCCCCCGCCGTGTAGGTACTTGGGGACTAGGAGTGCCATCTCGTCATGGTACCAGTCCGAGACGGACAACAGCAACTCTTCGTCATACTGTCCACGATATGGATGATCCGGATCGCGAACGAGGAGTGGTCCTCGCAAGCCGTCGGGATACTGGCCCTGAACGTGGGAGTGGTACCAGTATAAGCCAGCCTGGGTAGCCTAGAAAGGCGCAAACACGTATTTTAATAAGGGGATATTCCCTGTGGAATGGTGTATTACATACCTTGAACTGATATGTAAACGTCGATCCAGGGGTAATGGGACACTGGTTGACTTGAGCAGGCCCATCCAGCTCACTGCTTCCATTCATAAACAAGCCGTGGAAGTGTAGAGATGTGGACTGGTTTCCCAACGCATTGACTACATTGACCACGACGGTATCGCCCAGGTCGGCGCTTATGGTGGGAGGCGGCCAGTGGCCATTGATACCGATAGTTGGCCGACTGAAGCCATCAGGATTGGCGGTTACCCATGCAATATTGAAGTCATAGGTCACGGTTCGGGCGACGATGGTTTGGACTGCGCACAAGCAGAGAGCGACAAGAGTCTGCAGCAGAGGTGATGATAATATTTGTGCCATGCGAATTATGACGCTCAGGGAGAGAGCGAGCGCTGAAAATCACCGCACATGGAAGGAATCATTAATTGAGATCGGGTTCTTCCATCCAGACACAGAAGAGGCGTGAGAGGCTTATAGGGGAACCTCAAAGGGCGTCTTCGGGCTTCAAGACCCACAACTGCCAACGCGGCCAATCTTAGCCTGCCATGCCTGCCTGAAAAAACTTGCTCACCTCTTTCTTACCTCTACAAGTACCAATGTCTGCCAGATAGTCGGGCTCTAGGTGGTCTGACATTTTCCATCAGACGCCTCTCCGAGTATAGCACCGGGTGACGGGTTTGCTTGTAACACGAAGACGCTGGGACTCATACCTTCATCAACATGTGGTGGCGGGCACGTGGAATGACACATGTCCGGAAAAACAATAGTTGCGGTGTCACTCCCATTTAGGTAACTCCTTAACGCCGTCTCGTTCTCGGCCTACTTGCCCTCAGGTGAACCACTAGTTTCTCCATTGATTATTCCTCCACACTTCATGATAGCGCACCAACGTTCTAGAACCGCAAAGCCTTCAAGAAACGCACCTCAGGAAGCTAGCTGGCTAGCCCCGAGCCTGACATGATCCCAAGTCTTCACGCACTGTGCAATCGACCAGACCACTACCTTTGTTCTCGCCCCGTGCATTGTGGAAGCGAATACGAGGCAAGGACTCTTTTGCTGTCCCTCTGCTACTCTTCCATGTTTCTCTTCAGCTACTTAGGCATGCGCAGCTTCTCGTATTAACACCAAAAGTCCGTTCTCTTTTCCTAGCCATGGAACCTCTCCCAGAACTGGACTGGACAACGCAAGAAACTTTGTCTCTAGCACATGACTGAGCGGACTCAAGCAGCTCCCCCAATGATGTGACTGCTTGCCTCGTGTCGCCAGCCGTCTCGATTTTTAGCCGCGAATGACAGTTGCGGCTCTGAAGTTGCTCCTCGAATCAGCCCTACGGGGCGGAATTCCACGATGCAACACCGCCATGGCACAATTCTTAGCTTCCTCAAGCAATTCGCTTGGTGAAGCTTGTCGAGAAACAAATCGACCTTAGTTTCAAGCAAGCTTGGACCGGTGATGTGACCCAGAAGAGCTGCGCCTTGGCCACATTGGGTTTCTGAAATTGACCTATTCATGCTGCTTCGGAGGAAACTAGTCGCAAAGAGTTACGGTTAAATCCAAGGAACGACGATGCAGCAGATTGTCGACACGCTCGCCTGACAATGCCCTACCTGCACCAGCTCCGCCCTCAGAGTTTAAGCAAGCGAATGCGCCAATTTCAAGACTAATTGTTGGTAGGCGAGACCTGCCACTGTGTTACAAAGTGCCAAACTATGTTCGCTAGCATCGACCATCCAGTTGTGGACTTTTGGCCCGTCTAGTCCTTGATCGTCAGTGTATCAAAGCCCCAAATTATCTGAGCGACCGCCTCTTCGCATTTAGCTTTCCTCCGGTCACCGTGTTCGGTCCTCTTACCAAATCGGGTGCCTCTGAAGCCGTCGAGATATTGTCTTTTAGTGCTGGTATCGATGCTTGCCGAGGGTGGAATGAATTGACTGTTGGTGCTGCGGCTGAGCTCTGGCCGTTCTGCCACGTTGCTTCGGACACAATATCCCTATGGCAGAGCTCCAAACTGGATAAATACCTCGTCTTTGCACTACACTTCCTATCGTCGAGCATTCTAAATTTCAGGCAAGCAAAGTGTTCCTGACCATCGAGGCTTCTTATCTTTGGGCCAACAAGATGACTTATTCTATGAAGCATGCACTACTCGTGGGCCTCACTCTTTCTACGGCAGTGCTTGGTCAGGATTGTGGCAGTAAGGCACCCCGTCCTCGTGCGCAAGCGAAGACAACTGACGCTCTGCTCTAGGATATACCGTGTTCACCGATAGAGGCGCGAGCTCCAATGATTTCAACTGCGATGCATTTATTGATGATGCTATGATGCCGTATCTTGCATGGTTTAACGGCACTACCACGGTAAGGACTCCCTCGCGAGAACGTGTCGTTGTCGAGGCACAATCTGACAGGCATTCGCAGCTCACCCTCACTGGCGGACCGGCGTCTGAATGCTCGGACACAACCTGGGAACCACTGAAAAACTCGTTGCTCATTGGCGGCATGACCGTTCCTGGCAACAAAACGCTCGACCGGACCAAGTATGATAACAACACCTTCTACTTTGTCATGCCTGAGCAGTCAAACGACAATATCAGCGTATCCCTCCAGTCCTCGTCGGACGAATGGTACGACCAACCCCAAGGATGGCAGATCAACGCGACCAAAGCTGGAGATGGCTACGACATCGCCGGCTACTGGTTTGGGAAATTGCCAGACAACAACGAGCTCGACTTTCCCGGCGTCCCTGGCAAACATTGTTGGGACAGCGGTCCAGTCTGGCCGGGAATGAAGGGCTACTTTGACGAATACAAATGGACCCTCGTCGGGCACCTGTCTCCCACGGCCGCAAATCTCAGTGTCATCATGACCGAGACAGACGATGATGGATCAGTGTGGCATATCTACACAAATTTCACTGGCAAGGCTGGACCAAAGGGGCCCAAGTTGGTGACTACGGGGGACGCGCCGACCACGGATGCACATGCTTGAGGCGAGGGTGCTAGTCTGGAGCTGCAGATGTACAATGCCATAGTTCTGATCTAATATCATTGCCGAGTTGTCCCGTACCATGGTTTCACAGACGATATGCCATCCTTGGATAGCATGCGGCGTTGTACTACAGAAGATAAAGCGCAAGGTGAAAGATAGCTAGCTGGATGAACTTCAGCAAGGGGCTCTTCGGATCAACATTTGGCCGTTCCGCAGCCCCTGTGGTCCCTTCGTCCTCTCCCTCCTTGCATCTCGTCTCCATGCACGATCTTTTGTAACAATATGGTCTCTACATGAGTGACGTCTGCTTCCACACCGCTGTCGAGACAACAGTCAAGCTTCGAGCTATGACATGCCTCATCTCATCTCTGCTCTGCCCTGTGCGACGCTCTGTTCAAGGTAATGTGATATAACAAGGCCACATTCCATGCGTTGTCCTTGTCTACCGAGTTCAGAAAAACAACAGCCCACATTCCACTTGGTGCTCGACCGCAATCAGCGAATTTCTACTTGAATTGAAGATCTTTATAGCTAGGGAGATCTGCTTCTGTCGTCTTCCCTTTTCCCACGACACTCTCCTCGTTCGCGTCTTCCTTTGTGTTTGGGGTTTCTTGTCTCTATTTCTTTGTCACAGCCAAAGGCCTTCCACTCGTTTTCGTCCATCGTGGCATTCTATTCCTTCTTTTGATCTGAGTAACTCTGGTGCAAGAAGAACACATTTTCGAGTCGATCAAGGAATTCTACTTTGCTTCGTCAGTCAAAATGCATCGTGCCATCTTCAAGCTCCCACTGCTCCTTTCGGCTGTGGCCCTCGCGAGGCCTCAGACCCCGGCAGACACCAGCGCCTTGAGCGGATTACCAGCTTGTGCGGTGAGTATCTGTCAAAATCCCCACAGTTTGAAACAAACATCGCTAACGTGTCGTGACCTACAGCAAGATGCTGCCACCGCTGCCTTGGCCTCCTCGGGCTGTCCCGTGAACGACCAGAACTGTATCTGCAGCTCGGCACCCTTCATCATTGCCATCACTACTGCAGTCACGCAGACGTGCTCCCCAGCTGACGTTCAGGGTGAGTGACTCCAAACCCCCCAACCCTTGTGGTCCATTTTTGCGAGAAAAGGGAACGGAGCAAAATATACTGACAATGGAGCCCAGCGGCATTGGTCTTCGGCCAAACCTTCTGCGGTGCCGCCCTCGGGGGCGGAAGCTCTTCATCCAGCTCGGCCCCTACCACCGGTGCAGAAGACACAGCCAGTGGCACCCCAACGGCCAGCCCGACCGACGGTGACGCCTCCAACGGGGTCTCGACCACCACTGTCCCAGGGACATTGACGTCTGTGACCAGCGTCGCCGACGCCACGGACAACATGACCACCCTCACGGCAAGTGTCACAGACACCCCCACGTCCGGTGCGATGGGTTCAGGCTCGGACGGCATGGTGACAACCACCCAATGCACCACGACCACGACGATGATGACCACCGTAGCCTCCAAGCCAACGGGGCCATACAACGCGACCTACACCGGCGGCGTTGGCGCGGCGATGAAGAGTGCGGCGCCCGGCATGATCGCCGCCGTTGTGGGTGTTGCTGGCGCGATTGCCTTGTTGTGAGGTTGACCTACAACCTACCTCGTACACTCGAGATTGTCAATACCCGGACACCCACAAACACAAACACAGACACAAACCAGACACCCACGCACAGAGAGAGCGGAAGGAAATGAGGAACGGAGGGGAAGAGAATGGGCTTTTTTTTGTTAGCAGTGTCAGGTTAAAATCGTCTCGGCATTATTCATCTACGACTATCTACACGGAATTGTTCTTTTTCTTTTGGGAAGGTGCAGAAAAATACAACCGGTCACCTGGTAATATAATAATACAGTGGTCAGTGATTTCTTTCCACCAGGAGTGGTGCAAAAACAAAAATCGTGTCAAGTGACAAGGCTCAAGAAAAAGATAGAGCCGGGAAGATGAGATGGGGGGCCGGGGGGCTGGCTGCTTCGGTATCTACTTGTAGGTACCTAATCATCGGTGCCGTGGCCCGTAATTATGGCCCAGAATGCCATGCCCTGCTTTCTTCCCTAATACCTAGGGAGTAACTTGCTAACCTGATCTGGTTTCCCGATTGGGAAATTCATTGACGTCCGATCGCAGCCCGTTTCCGTTCCAGGTCTTCACACCCAGACGATTTAACTCCCTCTTCCCTTGCCTTTTACAGCCAATGCATCCACAAAGTATGAGGTGTGAACGGAGGAGAGTAACGCAGTATATCCCCGCACCTGTCCCACACAGTGCGTCAAGTCTCTTCTTCAGAATGACCACCAGCCTGGGCTGTTGCCTTTGTCGCGGGTTCGCCAGACGGTGTGGCAACTTGGGCGGGTTCGGCGCTCGAGTCTCCAGCATTGCGACCCGCCGAGCCAAACTCCCTGTTGAACCGGCCGATGTGTTCCTTGAGCACGTCGGCCCTGCGCCTGTCGGCCTGGGTCTTTCTGGCCTCGGCGTCGCGCTCGACCTCCCTGGCGGCCATGAAGGTGCGCATGGCGTCGTAGCCGCGCAGCGCGTCGGCCGCGTCCTCCCAGAACATCTGGACCGAGTCCTGGGCGACACGGCACGCGAGGGCCAGCAGACGGCGCTCGGCGCGGTTGATGTGCCGCTGGCGACGGTACACGCCGCGCAGGAATGTGCGCGTCTCGGGCGTCAGCCCCAGGTAGTTGTCGCGCGCGGACTCGAAGACGGTCGCGTACTCGCTGCGCAGGTGCTCGGCGATGCCGACCCTGAACACGGGCGCGGGCCCGTACTTGGACACGTGGTGGAACAGGCGCTCGCGGGCCGCCGCGTCCTCGACGCTGAGGATCGTGTTCACGTTGCCCAGTAGGCCCCGCGGCCACGTCCGGTCGTCCGGCCAGCTGACCTTCGTGGCGATTGGGTCCCACGGCAGCGTCGTCACGTACGGCACCGAGTCCGGGTCGGTCGTCCGCAGAGGGTGCATGGTCGTGTCTGTCTCTGTGTCCGCCGTCTCGGGGTCTCGCGCGATGCGCGTCGCCGTCGTGGGGAATGCCAGCTTTGCGTCGAATTTGGGATTGTCGTCGTCTTCGGTTCCGTTGAGCATGAACGCCTCGCCGTAATGAGCCGGTCTTTTGGCCTCGGGGACGGCAGCAGCAGCAGCAGCAGGGGATGATGATGATGCAGTCGCGGATTTTTGACCGTCCTTGGTGATGATTTCCTTGTCCTCCTCTCGCACTTCCTTCTCAAAACACACTTTGCCCTTCTCGTCCCCCAACTTCAAGAACTTTTCGATCCCGACCTTGAGCCGCGCCATGGAGCCATAGTGCTTGTACTCGTCAAAGAGGCCCTTGGTCTCCACCGCCAGGGTCGTCTGCGTGCTTCGCGGCTGTCGGGAGAGGACCGTCTCGGCTTCGAGCGTGAGGCTGTGTAGCTGTGACTGCAGGTGTTCCAGAAGTCGAGCTTTTGCCGGGTCCTCGTCACCGCCCGGGTGGTGTCGACGTGTTCGTGTCGAAGAAGGCTCACCCGCATGGGATTCTTCAGAGTCGCTACCCTCGTCTGCTGAGTGTTCAGATATGTGGCCTGCGACGTCGCCGAGGAGTTCGCCATTGTCGTCATCGGTGACGTGAGCGTTCATTATTCTCTTCAGAGCTTTCGCTTCGTGTGGTGCCAACAACAAAAAAGACAAACACAGTCAGGCGATAAAGGGTCGCGGTGGCTCTTCAGGCCGTGCGTGAGAAGGGTGTCCACCGAAGGGATGGAGGTAAGGTGAGAGACACGCCCTCAATGCCAGGCTTGATTGACTCGCTTCTTCTTGATCTTCGATTTGTCGCGGATGGTGGAGGTGAGTGAACAAACATCTACCTTTGTTTTGTAGGTAGTGTGTTGTTTGAGGAAATAAAGGTGAGGAGCGTAGGAAAGAGAACATTAAGAAAGAAAGGTCAGGCAGAAGAGCCGAATTGAAGGGATTCACTTGATCGATAAATTCACCGGTTCGTGCTCGGTTTGTTGGGTGAAGCAGTTTAGACCATCCATCCATCTGGACATCCGCTTTGAACATGGCGATAACACTGGACTTCCGGAGGAAGAAGAATAAAAGGCTTGTTCTGGTAAGAGTTCTTTCGTTCGAGATCTGGTGATTCAACTAATCTGCCTGCACACCTACACCCACACCGACATCGACATCCGTATTTCACATATATCATCATTGTCAATCCCTGTGTGCTGGCTGGGTTGGGCTGGGTTGGTATTTCCTTTTGATGTCTTCTGTTAAATGGATCCGATCCCTTATCATCATCCGCATTTTTATCCAGCCATGTCCGTCATTCATTACGTCCTCCTCAACATAATCCAGCGTGCTGAACCAGGACCCCCCTCGAAATGCTCCCCGCGTCAATTGACACAGGGGAATCTTGGCCAACCAGATCTTGTGCCTTTACGCATGCCATCGCCATCGCCATCGCCATCACCATCACGCACGCAGTTGCAAAGCATCCATTCTCCAAGCAAGAGAGGGGTGACACAGGCTGCCGCTTTGATATAAACGCCCCAGCCAGAACGACCTCGCCGTCTCTCAAAAATACCAAGTCTGGGAAATAGGAACAAGAAAAGGAAATGAACAAGAAAAAAGAGTTGGCGCAGTCGACCGGCTCTGTCTATGCCTGGCTGGAACCTTGGAGGAGGAGGAGGGGGGATCAATGACCCCTCAGAACTTCTCACTGGTCACTCCCCTCGTCACATGGACCAGCACCCAAGCCAGCACCTGCACGACCGTGGTGAGGAGCCAGACGACCAGTCTCAACACCATGATCAGCCCGCTGAGCGCTCCCCTCGTGACGGCGGGTAACTCCTCACCCTTGCGGTCGCCGGACTGGTAGTGGCCCAGCTTCTCCAGGTCGAACTCGCGCATGACGATCTTCTTGGTCTTGGTCTTGGACTTCCTCTTCCTCCGAGATTTCTTCTCCGAGACGTGATCAGAGTCGTCGTCGGTCGTCGTGGCGCTGCTGCTCGACAGCCGCCCAAACCACATCCGCGAGCCTTTGGACTTGGATTTCGATGACGAGTAGCCGCCCGTGCGGAGGTCGGCCTCGTGGGCCCGCCGCATTAGTTTGGCCTCCTCCTCGGCCTCCTCCCGTTCCGCGATGGTCGCGTAAAAGACACTGCCCACGTGGCTCTTCACGCTGCCGGCCCGGGTGTGGATACTTCTGGCTCCTGTTCCGAGACGAGATGCCGGGGCAGGTCTGGGCTTCCAGATCTCCATGCCTCCCAGCGCCGCATTCGTGGTCGCGTCTGCCACGGCGACGGAGAGAATCGCTGAGACGATGCAGTCGATGCTGAACAGGCTGGGCATGAGGTCGAGAATGGCGTTGGCATCCACATGGAGGATCTCAGAGGTCAGATCAAGGGTCGCGAGGGTTGAGAACTCTGACGAAGGTGACGACGTCTCGGTCAGTGGAAGCGTCGACAATCGCCGTATGCCAGCTCCTGCAGAGGATGGAGCCGTGGTGGTGGGCGTCATGATCCCGCCGGTCCGTCGTGACGCGTTGGGGTCTATCACACTGATAGTGGGAAGAGGACCGTCGCTAGAAATGGTCACATGCAACACAGGCTTCCCCATAATGCTCTTGATCGTCGTCGGCGAGCTCAGAGAGGGGCTTTTCATCGCGAAATCCCCTCCCATAGCACCCCGCCCTATGGCCGGGTGTTCCAGTTCGTAGAATCCGCCGTTTGCATTGTACCGCAAGTGGCAGGCTTCTTGCTGAGCGGCACGACGGACCGCCTGCGCTTCGATCTCGTCTCTGTCCGTGGGCGCGAGGTTATGCTGTCGCGCGAGGGCGGCTGATTGGTTTATAGCGAGGAGGGCCGCCAGCTTGGGGAATATGAAGGCCACGAGGCCGTCATTGGGCGGGAGGCGGCGAGGACCTGGCTCCAGCGGACAGAGAACGACGTCGCGGGTGACTGGACTCTCCGCCCCGGCTGAAGAGGAATTGGTTTTGCTGGGGCAGGTTTTTGAGATGGCGATCTCATTCGTGTCGTACGTTTGGAGGGTGTAGAAGGGCAGAGACGGGTGGGAGCCAAATACAAATGTTGCTTCCTCGGTCCTGCGCACCATCATTAGCGTGATATGAAAAACAAAACGTGTGGAGAGCGCGCATCTACCGTGCCATCTCGAGATCGAAAGACTTGATCGACGAAGCCGGTTCAGTCCCGTGAGAAGCTTCCCACAACTTCTCGAGCTCCCTTTGCGTCGATATGCGGGGACCGACGCTGATGCTCATGACGTCTGACGGAAAGTTGAGAACACTCGCCGGCGCCGTCCTCTGTGCAGCTGCCATGGCTGACATGTTGAATGGGATCGAAAGGCTGCTTCTTCGGTAGTCCTCCCTCGAAGGTGGTATGCCTGCGAAAAGAGGCATGCCGGAGATTCGCACCGGTGGCGGGGGTTGCGGGACGAACACTGGCAGAGTGGCCACAGGCGCCGAAGGGTCGTAGACGGGGAACATGGAGCGGATGGGCACGATTGGCGACGGTCCGATCGGGGATTTGTCATTCGGCGCAACCTGGACGTACACTGTGGAAGCTGGTGCTGCCACCAATGTCGTGGCCGATCCTGTCCCTAGTGACGACGAGGCTTGCGGAGATGACTTTTGACGAAAGTCGGGCGACTGGTATAACGATGGGGTATACGCCGCCGCTGCAGCAGAAGGGTGGACGGGCTGAGTAGGCGTCTTCCCATCGATCGGCGATACCGTGCTCACTGCCCGTCCGATGTCTTCCGGAGAAGGGGTACTTTCCCGCGTGGGCTGCTGCTCGCCCAGGCGGGCAGGGAGTCGAGGCAGAGGCGGCCGTTCCTCCTCCATTTTGATCACGACCGACTCGGCATTGGGCGAAAACGCGCTGTCCGGCGAGGTGACGACACTGATACTGTGCAGGCTTGGGTTCTTTTTGTGTGGGTTTGGAATCGAGATCTTGGGGACTGTCGTCGGAAAGAGTGAAAAGCCTTGCAGGGCTGGAGTTGACGCGGACGCGGTAGCCATGCTGGATGCCTGATCGCAGCGTACTTGACCGTGCTGGTCCCAGCAGAACTCGAAAGGGAGCAGACCTGCTGCGTACAAGCGTGAAAAAGGACAGGGAATTAAAGTGTAAAGGGAAAGAAAACAGATGCACGGTGCACAGCACAGCACAGCAGAGCACAGCACACCAGGCACACGAGGACAGAAGAAGGGGAGCAAGAAAGATATTCAAGAAGGGGGATGTGAGCGGGACAAAAATGAACGACCACGATTGCCCCTAGGATGAGCACCGGGCGCACTCACAGAAAACGGGAGCTCTTCGCATGATGCAAGCGGCCCAATGGGTGACCGGTGGGAGAAAATCTACCTTGGCTGGCGTTTAGCGGCTCAAGATAGAAGTTATGCCAGATCATGAAGATCTATCACACCTGTGAAGACGCTGAACAAATGCATTGGCGAGAGACAAACCAATAGCGAGGGAGAAGGTGGAAATTGTGGACATTGGTCTGGAGGTGAGGAGGAAGAGCACGATAGAAGAAAGAGACGAAGGAGAGATGAGGAGGAAAGCAATACAGTGGAGTCGAAATGGCCTCAAACAGGGTCGGCGCGTAGAGCTGGTCATGATTGGCTGATCTATTTGCGGAAACAGGTGGAGTCGGTCATCTCTGTATCATTATTGGCTGAATGGCAACTGCCGCCAAATCCGCAAGCAAGGGGAGGACTGCATCAAGGCAGAAGACACAAAGCACTGTCTCATAGGTACCTTCTCTTTACTTTCTCGCTACCGAGTGACTCTACAAGCACGTGTCTACTTTTCTATTCGGATGCGCCCAGTACTGCTGCAGCAACAGGCCCTCGGAATAGAAACTGCAGCCAATAGACTCGCCAGCGCACTGGTGTCCGTCTCCCACCAGGCTCTCAGACCACACTCCCCATCGGAGATGGGCATGTTGCAATCTGCCTTCAGCCTCATCAGAAGCGACCCTGCATCAGAAACTATGCTTTATCACGGTAGGTTGAAGTCAACCACAATTCGCCTGCGTACTCGTCAGTGAACACTCTGGATTGCCTTGCTGCCGATGCCCAAAAACTTACCCTGCTACTTGTCCGTTCTTGAGTTTCTGAACCGATTCGTTGAATTTGCTCAACCCTACCACGGTGGGCTCGAGGCGAAGTTTCCCTGTTCAGTTTGGTTCAGCCTCCTCGTCATCACTGACACACATCCGCGCATCACATACCTCGTTTGGCAAAGTCCAGTGTCTCGTCGATGTCGGCCAAGCTGCTGACCAAAGTTCCTTTGATGGACTGATTGCGGAACACCAGCCTTGATGCGTCCAGGTCGATATGATACTTTCCTTGCGGCGGGATGCCAATGCTATACATGCGTCAGCCAGTGCGTTAGACCTGCTGCTGGAGCGAAATATATCTTACCACATGACTTGTCCACCTCCTCGAGCTCCGAGGTAGTCAAGTGCGATGGGGTACGCTTGTACGGCTGTCGATGCTGTTAGCTACTCGCCATAGAAAAGATCGCAATGTGACCGGCGAGACATACCAGTAACAATGACTCCATGGGCTCCTCCTTCGGTTATTTCAAGAACTTTCTTTACCGGGTCTCCATCCTTGAAGTCGATGAAATGTTCAGCTCCATAATGCAGGGAGAGCTTTTTCCTCTCGTCTCCAGTGTCGACCACGATCGGCCGAATACCCATCGCGGCAGCCAGTTGAACACCCTGAATACCAACACCGCCACCACCACCAGGGAAGACGGCCCATTGACCGGGTCTCAGATCCGATTCCTTGAGCGAGGAGTAAATTGTCGAGGCGGAGCACATCACAGGACCGGCGACATAGTCTGATACTCCCTTGGAAGGGTCAACACACGCAGAGGCAGGGAGGATGCATAGCTGGACTTACGTCGGGAATAAGCTGTGATGGGAAGTTAGCCTATAATATCTCACGTCTTGAGTGGGCCCTTACAGTTGTATAATTCTCCGGTGAAACCACGTACTGCTTGTATGACCCTGCAGTTTCATTAACATCTGTCCGCAAGCACGCCAACATGTACCCACCGTCGCAGTGGCCGCCAGTGTAGACGGCTTTGAAGCAATATGTCTCTCTGCCGCTCTTGCAGTATTCGCAGGAATGGCACACATTTTGGATCGGTTTGTAGCCGGCCCGCTGGCCAACCTTGTATGCCGTGACGTTCTCACCCACTTTGACAATCACTCCAGCTCCTTCGTGTCCGGCGCACTTGACCCCCAGGTCGGACATCTTCGCGGTGCCCCAGTCGTTGAGCATAAAGTGGACATCGCTTAGGCAGAGACCCGTGGCATTGAGTTTGATCAGGACATCATTGGGACCTGCACGGAAGAGTCGCGAGTCAGCACAATTGAGTCAGATTAGCAAGGGTTCGACAGGCTGTGTACGGACCGATTTCAGGTACAGGCACCTTCTCTACCTCGACATAGAAGTCGGGCCCCTCGTTTTTCTGTTGAGGTGTGTGAGAGCCTGAACTAAGCTGGTTCGTTGCAAGTCACGTACCACAACAGCGCCCCAGCACTCCTTGGGGATATCGAAAGTCGGCGCGGGATCACTCATGGCGGCAAAGACGGCGACTGTTCAGTAGGTCGGTGGAACGGAGCACAGGGTAGAGAAGAGAAGCAGAAGGAGGTGGAAGAAAAGGCCGCACGAGCGACATTAGTAGATTTTATGTTTGTCTGACTCGGTCATCGACTTGTGCACGGGTTGGCCAGAGAACGAGGGGCGGAGGAGGGGCAGATGCGCCTTCTCAGTCCTTCCCCATTATCTTGGAAGGTACGAGCACAATGGAGATTATAGATCCGAGAAACCCAAAATGCCGAGCAGATGGAGCCTCGGGTCGCACAGGACGGGCAAAAGGCAAGTGAACAAGTCATGGCCTACAGGATTGGAGATACTGAGGCATCCAAGAGGCTGTCCAGATTGAGGAAAAGCCCCTTAGATTGGCTCTTCTTTTCGTGATGTACGTCTTACAATTCAAGCCTGGCTCTGGGAACTGATGGCGAAAGTCAAAAGTCCAAAGATTCAAAGCACGCGTCATCATAGAGGCACGCATGCATCATTTGGCATTATTTGGTAAACAAGGCCGCGGGGATTGAAGGAGCAGTTAATGGCGGGGTTGATCAAGCGAGGACAAAAATGTGGAGGCACGACGATCGTAACTACCGAGGTCATGATCCGGAGTAACCTCTCTCCGAGAACGCCAAGGGCGGGCATGACGGAACCTGACACGCCTGACTAATGTCAGCCAAGCACGTGCCATGTTCGCGACAAGGCTGCCATCCATCTGGTGGGAGTATTCTTCCCTGCCTTCCCAGCTCTCAGCACCCTGATATTTGTTGATGCAAATAGCGCCTATTTCCCTCGCCATATGTCGAAACCACGCAAGACATCAGATAAACCAGATGCGGACGAACAGATAGAGTGTAGCTCTTCGCTCCTCGCCCCCCAAAAAGACCGGTGTGTAGCAGCGATCCAGGGGTATGTACTGTAGACCCATGTCTCTCAAACCCACTCAATATATCAAAGGCAACCTCTCAGTCATCGTCTTCAATCGCGACCACATCTGGATCGAGTGCTTCCCAATCCTCAACTTTACTTCTTAGGACTCTGGGACCAAATGCTCTCTTCCTACATACACCATGCTCTGAGACACGAAAGAAATGTCGAGAATGATGGATCATAGTCCGCTGAAACTGGTCCCTTATCGACTTGATGAGCCATTCTTCGAGAACATCCCCTTGTTCATTCTCGCCAATTCCTTCTAGTTCTCCTTCTGATTTGTTCGGATTTTCTGTTGGGTTCAAGTCGCCCGCCTCGGGTCGCGAAAAAATGATCATAGCCAAGTCAAGGAGACATTGGGGCCCGTACGGATGGAACTGCGCCTGAGTGATCTTCCGAAAAACCAGGTCTTGCAAGCTTTTCATCCCCAGTTTTTCGGCGATGACATACAACTTTCCACTCCTAAGTGCCTCGTTTCTGTAGTGGTCGACGGTGGCGCAATTGTCGAGTTGCTTGGGAAGGACATTCTCCCCGTGTGGATGATTCACCAGTGCGGGCATGTATTCATCCGTCAGAAGAAACTCGCGGACCGCACGAAACTGGTCTGCATCAACAGCCATCAGTCCTGGATGCATAATGTATGGACTGGGCGTGCCGAGTTTGCTGATCAGGCACTTCAACACGGGGGCTTTTTCGAGGTCTTCGAGGCTCACTTCCATTTCGGTGTTATTCTTTCCTACGTAGACCTTCACCCTCTGCTCAGGTGGCTTTTGCTGTAACTTCTCTAGAGCTTGTGCTTCGGCCTCGCGTTTGATCCGGACTGGTGCAGGGCTGGATGATGTTGACATGTTCGGGGATTCTAAAGACGAGGTTTGCTCCGCTGTCACCGTTGTGGATGTTTTGCGTCGCTTAGGTTGTGGAAACGAATAACGTGGGACCCTGCTTCTTGATGTGCTGTCATTGGCTTCATCACCATTTATGGAACCGTCCGAGTATGCCAACAATGCCTCTTGGTTGTATCGTCGAGCCCGCTCTTCAGCTGTTAAGGTAGGCTTGGCCCACAAGTTCGACATGGTGGTTGAAGATGACGCAGAAGTGAGAAAACAATGAGTAAATCACAGAAGACCAAAAGGTCGGTCTTTAATGACTTCTGAAAGTGTGTCCTGTCGTGTTTGAGAATAGAATCCCTCGCGCGGAGAAAGCAAGAGGAAACCAAGCCAGATACCGGCAGATCAATGATGGGTTTGAAGCGAAAGAACAAAACAGGGAGAGAGGTCCAATGCCTGTTGTCCAGGTTGACATCGAGCGGGGACTCGAGGATGGAAGGGTTGGAGCCAGGAAGAACGGAAATACTTACTCGCAGCCACATGCTCTCCCGGACCTTGGGTCTTCACTGATCATCACATGCTGATGCATTCGAGGACAGCACAACATAAGGAAACATGATATTTGAGGTGGCCGAATCTCTCATTTTCCTATTCTGAACACAGAGGTTTTCATCCCGTCCCCAGGGATCAAGCTTGAAAGTAGCTTCACCATATCAGACGTCGACACCAGAGTCGAGAAAACAACCAAAGTACATAAGAGTTGCGAGTTGTAGATCGCACACTGTGTGAGTTGATCATTTCCTTGGAATTCTCAAAATCCCAATGAAAGAGCGGAAAGCCGAAATTGCGCCTAAGCAGGGCCATTAGAAGGAGTAGGGTTGCGATGAACCACCAAGTGTCGTCGGCCAACCTCGAGAAGAAGCGGAGTTGTTGCTGCTGTCAAAGCAGGCGAGGTCCCACAAGACTCGTTGCTGATTCCAACGGCCCGGTAAACATACTGTCCTACCTCACATCATAGCACCAAACCGTCGAGCCTACTTCGAGTCGTCTGCGCAACCCTTTAGATGACTCTGGGAGATCGGCTGTTGCTGTCAAGACCAAAAAACATGTAAGCATTTTGTTCCAATGAACTGCGAATTTCCGGTGCCTGCACAAAATCATGCGTTGATCCCTTACCTGATCTCGACAATGTCATCGATATGATTGCACATCGCCACAAAGAGGTCGAAAAACAATTTGCCCCCATTCTCCATCTCCATCTGCATGGTTCCACTCCTCTTGAAAGTCTTGCGACTTCGAATGATCAGAGCTAGGTAATGAGCGCGGAGTCGCGACTCGGTATCCGGCGTGTGCGCATACGCATACCGAGCTGATCGCAAGATCACGTCGACTTGGATTCCAGACTGCAACCCCTGCTTCCGTAGACACAGGCGTTTCAGTTCCTCCAGGCCGTACTTCTCGGCAGCGCAGTACACCACGGTATCTCTCAAGACATCGCCGCCGGCGTCAGCGAGGTAAATTGTCGATGCTTTGTTTCCGCGGCCCCCATTTTTAATGAGATCCTGGGCGTCCTCGAGATCCCAAGTGTCTCGGCGCTTGTTGTGCAGCAAGCGAGGATAATAGTCACCCTTGTAGAGAAACTCGAGAACGCAGGATAGAATTTCGGGTTCTTCATCAGGCAGTTCCACCCTCTTCGAGCTGCCTTCAAGAAAGTTGCCTTTGAGAGCAGCCGCAAAGTAGGGTGAATGACAGAGGACGTCTTCATGAGCAGCGAAGAGGCGCTGCTCACAACCCACCACCAATGTGACGATGGGGCTCGTCAATGTACTGTACGAGGATCAGTTTATATTGCTCTGTCCGCAAATGTTTGGGTTGTTTTGTATTCAAGACTGCCTACCTTGCCACTGGCGAGCCGGCGTCCACAGTGTCCTGCATCTTCTTCTTCACGTGTTCGGGATAAGTGGTCTTTGTGGTCTTCGACTTGACGATGCGACCTTCCCTTGTATTGAACGATCGCTTGAACATGTTGTCGAAAGAGCGCATTGACATTAGGCAAAATGCAATGATCGTTGCTTGTCAAGATCCAGAGATTCACGAACGAGCGAAGGAAGGAAGGAGCGGCAGAAGAACCTGTGATTGTAGTAGAGAGCGTGATAGGTGTTCTTCGGTGGGAGAGCGACGCTTCACAAGGACATGTGATGGAGAGCTGCGCAAGTCTTCGCTGGATGACTCCCACGCCTGCCAACCAAACTCTCGAGAGAGGGTCAACAGCCGATGGAAATCACACGGAAGGACTTGACGGTTCGGTTTTCTTTGCGCGAAACAAAGATAGCCGGACGCGCGTGTGCTTTGCCTGCTCGGGTGCGTGAAGAAAGGAAAGGAAGGGAGACGAGAATGTAGGTTTGGGATATATACCTGCGCTGCGCAGGGCGGTTGCGAGGCTTGGCTGAAGGCAACCACGCCAACGGGGAGATGCATTATCGAATCATAGTGGAAAGGCTGCGCCTATCTTCCAGGCATGCATGCAGTGCAACTTGCAGTAGTGAGTCGGTAGAACACAGCCCCAGGAAAGAGACTTGTTGAAGCGATGGAGATGTTCCGGAAGCGGAGGGTCTCGAGGCCCCCATTTCATTAGCAGAACCATGACTTCTTAATCATTTGTTGACATTGTCAGCTGACCGCGTTTTGATTGTCGCACGCGCCTGGTGCCTCTCCTGCGCAGAACCACGCTGCCACAGCTTCAAAGAATTCAGATCAACAGCTTGTGACATTGTCATCCTCCCGGCATCCGCTGGTATCTCTGTATATGTCCACATCCAAAAATTGACAGAGAACCGTATCCCGCGGTTAATGGTTATGCGTCGTCGCCTCCGAGACAGTGCTGAAATTGTCCAAATGTGAGCCTGGTTAATTCGCCGTATCTGGAGTCACTTCACCAGGCGACATTGTATGCGCAAGCCCTCCGTATGTCGGCAAAGCACAAAAAGTGCCGTTGTGATGCAAGAGTGCCTGGCATGCTTGATTGCGCAGTCACCACTGCTCATCCAGGTCCCTAGCTGGTAGACGCTCCCACTGTCTGCGTTTGGTGTCTACCATTGGGTTGACTAGAAATAGGTCCGCATCCTCGAAGTCCAGCCATTCGCCTCCACATTCTTCTGCTCCAACTCAGCCATCTGGTTTCCTTCTCGAATCTTGCGCTCCTTTTCCTTTCGGGATCTAATACGTTCAAGGATTTCAGGGTTCGGATTCTCAATCGATTCGGGGGTAGGTTTTGCGCAGCCATGCTGAAGAGCTTCGTATCTGTCTCGACAGGCGTTCTGGGAGAAGTTGACCACGGGCTGCGACCCGCACAGTCAGTACTGACTTATATCTGGCATCGGGGACATTGCGAGACATGCCTTCAATGACTTCATCTGATCAGCCACCATGCGCCACTTCTTCGACTCGATGTCGTCTTTGAGCCTCTTCACTTCCTTCTCGGTCTTGATGACAGCCTGCAGAAGAACATCATCCTGCGTGTCTTCATCAGTCATTGTTCGTTCCCAATTGTGATCCCAAAACCTACATCCCCTTCGTGCCAGTCTGTCAAGTCCGCGTCGAGCAGGTCGTCCTGTCGCTTCTGCAAAGCTGCCTTGATGCGTCGCCAACGCGTGCCGATGGTCTTTGGATTGTAGGCGGTGCGACCCTGATCGATGAGAGCTTGTGCGATGTCTTTCTCTAGAAACCGAGCCTCTTTCATGCGCACAATCATCTCGTCATCGGAGTCCAGGTCCGCTGTGACTTTCTTCGCAACGGCAGGGCGGCCTCCTTGGATTTTCATCTTCTTGATATCTCCAGCATTGGCCATTTTGGCAGAGTCGAATTTACGACGACGTTTGGGCTTGCCATGGGAACCCTAGTCAGTCCGATCAGCAACACCAAATCAAATGAGAAGATGCGTTACAAATATTCCTACCTCCGCATTTAGGTCATCCTCTGCTTCGGACTCAAGATCGGCTGCCGCATCGCTATCCTCATCGTCCCAAGCTTGATTGTCGGCCGTGGCTCCACGATTGTCCACTATCGGGCCGCCACATGGCTGACCGATATCTGCTGAGCATTAGACTTGAAAAAAGCTTGGAATATTCCTCTCGTCAGAGACATTGGATGGTCGACTTACCAAGGGGAAAGTACTGGGGATCGAGTTGATGATGGGCGAAGTACGGGAGAGGATGAGTGCTCTGGCGGAAGACGAGTGCAGGCGCTGTTTTCTTGGGTTGCTCGTTGGTGAGTTTGTCACGAAAAACGAGAGTTCTTCTCTCCAGCTTGCGGGGAGCCGTGAGGCTTTCGAAATATTGGGTATCGGCGCGCATCTTTGTCTAGAAAAAGGCCGTCAATATCTCCACAGTTCGTGGAAGCACAGCGCGTGGGACGAGAAAGAGGGTATCGAGAAAGAAATATAGAAATTTTCCACGGTTTGTCACTTGTAAACACCAAAGGGCAGTTAGGAGTGACACGCATGGCAGGTGAAGGTGAGGCCGATAAAAAGAACACCGCAGGTGACTGTCACTGCTGCACTGGTGGCTCGTGATCTTCACGGCTCCTCAAGGTTGACCAGGGGATCTTCTGTCAGCGACGACAGCCCACAATATACTTCAGGGCTAAGCATGCTCAAGTGCTGTTGCGATGTATACAGTCTCAAACTGGGTACTTGTGTGATCTTTATTGACTAGCTCCATCTTCAGTGCGCACATTATACCTTTCCTTTTCCTTTTTTGACCCCTTCTAACACACAGAGCTCACTACAGACCATTCACACTGCAGTCCCGAAAGACCATTTCCGCTGGAGAGCTATTCCTTCATTTCGCAGCCGTGACTCTCCTCTCTGCTCTGTTCCCAACCAGAGCCTTGTTGAGCCTTGATAGTATACTGCGACTCTGATTGGCTGTTGAGAGATATGGCTGTGTCAAGTTCTGATCATGACGTCGTGTGTGGCGCAGACACCATCATCCCCTCGATATGACCAAAGCCTTCAGTATCAACTTCCTCGTACATCACTAATGATAGTCTGATACCCTTATTCCTTTGTCCGAATTCTCATTTTCTATATTTTCTCCTTGAGGCACAAGCCTCTTGGTTTTGACCTAACATAACTCTTACCTGTGGTGGAGACTTCCTGTGCACCATGGCGATGGAATACATTAATTACATCAAGGCCAAGGCCCATCTTGTAACAGCACGCAGGTCAGAAGCCCCGGTACTATCTGAAGAGGATGAGAAGTTCCTGGATCGAATTACATCCCAAGAAAATCCTCCTCCACTCCCCGCCCGCCCTGGGGCCGCATCGGTAGGCAAGGATGCCCAAATTGCTCTTATGGACGGGGCTCAAAACATTCCTCTGCCTCCCGAGACTCCAAGTGAACTCAGCGAAGAGCCAGCAATGCTCCAGGCAGATGCAAATGACGCAACAGATGACACCCAGTCCAAGTCAAAGGCGACCTGGAGCTGGCTCAGACGTGACAGTCGAGACGTCAAACGCCAAAAGAACGAAGCCATTGCAGCTGGCTTAGAAGACATCGCTGCTAGCCTTAGAAAGCGGGAGCTGGAAGACAACGAGGAAGTCAAGCAGGCCAGGCAGGAAGAAGAGGACATGACCATCGTACTGGAACGGCTCAACCTCGCGGCGGTTAACAATCGAGTCTTCTCCATTAGTGACGAAACACAAGAACTGTTACAGAAATTCAATCTAATCTTCAAAGACCTGGTCAACGGTGTCCCAACCGCATACGATGACCTGGAAAAGTTGTTGACGAATGGTGACCGGCAATTGCAGAAGACCTTCAATTCACTACCAAGCTTTCTGCAGAAGCTCATCGAGAGACTTCCGGAAACCATGACGAAAGGGTTTGCGCCCGAGATGATGGCTGCAGCGGCCGAAAGGGCCCAGAAGAGTGGTGTCAACATGGACAACGCAGGCAAGGCGGCTGCGGCGGCCAAGAAGATGGGATTCAAAACCCCTTCCCTAAAAGAATTGGTGGGCAAGCCAACCGCCATCACAGCCGCGCTCAGATCAATCATGAACTATCTTCGGGCGCGATTTCCAGCTTTCATGGGTATGAACGTGCTGTGGTCTCTGGCACTATTTGGTATGAGCATTCCCTTGGAGCGCACATTTTGTGTATGGCACTGACCCTGGTTTTTTTCGTAGTGCTACTCTTTGTCTTCTGGTACTGTCACAAACGTGGTCGAGAAGTTAGGCTAGAAAAAGAACGCAAGCTCACAGAAGAGGAGGTGCAAAAGCTGGACGTGGACTACAAGGCAGAGCATCCGGGTGAAGACTTGACGACCACCGCTGAGAAAGGGGCCTCCATTCAAGATGTGCAAGCTGGCATGGAGGAGGTTCAGGCCGCAAAGGAAGCGGTGGAGGTATCAGACCAGCCTGTCGAAGTGGAGCCCAAGGTGGTTCCTCCAACGACGCAGGCGCCGTGATGAATCGGGATTGGATCGGGCTGATCAGGGAGTATGCATGCGTGACGACCTACCGAATAACGAAGATGATGAAAGCGATGGGAGCGTGTGGGGAACTATCCAGCATTTTCTCGTTCTCTTTTATTTTTACTCCCACCTTGAATTTTCACCTTTGTTTCACCCTTGCGACTAGCGGTTCGTGTCTGGAGGATGGAGGGGCCGGACGAGGTTGGGATAATTCAGACTGCGCATGATGCTTGAGGTACAATCAGTGACGGCCACAGCGACGACTATGCAGCGAAGCTCAGTAACAACTCTTGCCATTGTCAATTTGATGATCTCGATACTTAGCAGGAACCAGAGCAATACCATTCTTTCGATAGTCCAAATGCTGGGTGCTGGTGTACCTCGTTAGTACTGCGCCTCCCTACAAATTGAGTTTTATAGGGACTGAGGGGCATTGGCCTGTCGTGACCCTGTCGCGTCTCTCCTTGGCTTCTCGGCCCATTGAGTCATTGGAGTCCGTTGGAGTCACTGCCGACCATGAAATGCATCCGTGATTGGTGGTTGCTCCTGAGGCACGCGAGGGGAGACCCAACATCTGATATTTTTTTTTTTCCCTTTTGACTTTTTTTTGGCTCATGGCCGGAGAGGAATGATTATCACTTCTGAGGTCACTGGGGTCCGTTGAACTGAGAGATTCGTAGACGCCTAACCATTCCAACAACTGGCTTGGACGCAAGTGTGCAACCAATGAAGCGAATCTACGTAGCTCTAGATGAAGAAGGCTCATCGATGGTCCAGTCACAGAGAGCGCCGGGAATAGCGGTGTGCAGGCTCTGAGATCCGCCCTCGCAGGCTGTGGAGTTACAGAATTGTAAACCCGACTCGGTACTGTGTGTCGATAGGTGACTAGCCTTTAGTCTCTTTAACTAACAAGTGGCATGCTTTCCGCCTGGACGCCGGCCGCCCACTGGTGGAGAGGGCCCTTTCGCCGCCCGCCGCAGTCACCGTACGTCGTGCGTAGGTTGTAGTGGCCGTACAAAGTTCAAAGCCTTTTTTGAAGCCCTGACTTCTCACTTTTTTTTCCTTTCTTTCCCTCTTCTTACCAACCCAAACAACTTCAACCCAGCCCATTGATACCTGCCAAAGCATTCAAGTCCCAGCATCTCCTGTCATATCGTTCGAGGATCATCTTTTGCCCATGGCCTTCGCTGCTTTCTAGACGGCCAGGAGGTCCCCTCTCCGCTCCGGGGAGGGGGTCCTGCTCTCGTGGCCAGTCAAGCAGCTCCAGCAAATCCTCGTTTCGATATCTACTCTTTCGAGGCTCTACCGCGTAGGAGCTCGTGTCCACTACTGTCCTCGAAATTGCCCTGCTTGCACACCTGAACGGCACCCAGCTGTCCTTGCGACACAGGTGCTAAGAACGATATTTTCACCCCCCAGGACGACCTCCTCCGCCTACTCCCCCCTCCATCCCTGATATCGCACCCAAACCTCTGCCACTTATTCTCAACGTTCTACTTTCTTGACAACTACCGAACGTCTGCCCCATTGCACTACAATGTCCCGCCTTTTTACCCGCAACTCGCGGGGTCGCCAGCCTATGCTGGGTTCCACCGTCAAACTATTCAAGTCCAAAGAACACCCCAATGACACCTACCAGCCCAAGCCAAAGAGGGGCAGACCTCCTCGCAAATACACGGTGACAAAGAAATCGTCGGGCAAAAGGAAAAAAGCCGACAGCTCGACCTCGGGAGAAGATCTCTCCTCGTATGAGTCCGAGACTGCAGATGATGCCTCGGACGAAGAGAGTGAGGATGAGGCCGATGATGAAGATGACCTGCCAGCAGTCAAAGCCCCGTCTCGTTCCCGGAGATTGAATGGGGCGGGGCCCAAAAAACAAATCAAGTCGCGGGATAATGTATCCCTCGCTGGCAGCTCAGAGAGTATGTTCGGTGATTTTGAAGACTACTACGAGGATGACGAAGACCCCGACCTCTCCCCCGAAGAAAACAGGAAGCGTTTTGAAGAAAAGGTCTTTGCAGAATCAGACGACGACAATGACATCTACCAGGCTGTCGATGATATTAGTGATTCCGACGACGATGTGGATGGAAACCAACTTCAAGAGCAAGATTTGCTTGCCATGCTGTCCGAAGAAGGTCAGAGTGATGCCGACTTCCTTCTCAACCAGATTGATGGCTTGTCTGCGTACGGATTTGGAGATGAGAGTGATGGCTCCATCTACCGTTTTCCCTCCTCACAAGGTAGCGACAGTGCCACTGAAACCGCTCCCGAGAAACGGGTGCATTTTGCCACCGATGCCGACCCAACCATTCTCTTACGCATGTCCGAGTCGCCTACCATTACTCGTGCCCTGCTACCCTCAGCACTACCCGACTCGGGATTCTTGCACCAAGGTGCTGACAGACGCGTTGGCGTCCTGGTCGATGACCTGGATGATTGTATGTTGTGATGTGATTTGTCCGTGTGCATGATGACTAACACCCTGCAGCTGATCTGACCGACGACTGTCTGCCGGAGGAGGCCCTCCAGAGCACTCCCCATGCGGCCGACGAAGAGAAAGAAACGTCGCCTTCGGCTTCTCCGCCATCCAAGAAAGCGGGAAAGAAACCAGCTCGACGTCGAGGCCCGCCTCGTGGCATCTTTATCGACGAAGGTGACAAGACATCTGGTATTCTCGACTCCTCGGGGAAAATCATCCTCATGACCAATCCTCATCTGCTGGGTGAAGAGTTCGCCCGTCGCTATGGAGCGTCCCAAACGTCTAGTCCAGATGTGGGTTTTGCCGAGCTCATTGAGGAGAGTGATGCCGGCGATCGTGACCCTACTGATCTCTTGACTGGGCAGAGCGCAGACATCATGCTTGCTAGCTTCAATTCTGCGATCAATGACCCTTTCAATCAGGGGCAGGCTGTTGGCCCCTTGGAAGCATTCTATCCTACCAACAACTTCTTTTTCGATGATTTTACTGTTGACCACGGCGATCTCGCTGGGGATTTCCAAACAGATGGGCTTGGGGAAGATGTCATCAGTCTCACCGATGTGATACAGTTCGACAGTGGTTCAGAGGACAGCGACGCTCCGACGTCGCCCATCTTCATGCCTCCCAATCACGAACTGCTGAGCAATGATTTCGCTCATCTTAACAACGGCAACATCACGGCATTCCGGCGCAACGCTGACCCAGCATTTGCGGCGATGAGTCAAATGCCGTCATATCTGGATCTAGATTACTTGAGTTCACCTCTTGCAACACCGGCGCCGTCGCGCCGCAAGAGGAAGAATCATGTCTCGCCATATACCTCTTCGCACTACAAAGGAGTGACACCTGTGCAGCGGATGCGAGATCCCAACCACGCACGAGCTTCTGACCCTGTGACTCCTGCGAAGAAAAAGCGCAGACTTATGACTTGATGAAATGACGACGACACGACAGTCTCGTTTGCCATGTCTCATATTTGGCCGTCCTTTTACGGCGAGCCATGTACTGCTTGATGGATCGAAGTTGGGCGTAGAGTGGAACGGGGTGGGCATATTGCTGTTCGGAGTTCCCTTGCGACATGCTCCGGGTTTCTTCGGGTTTCCTCATTCGGGATCCCATTCGCTTTCGACTTGACATGAACCAAAAAAGAAAACAGGACTGGGGAAAAGAAAATGTGCGAAGTTTTATGATACCAAGTTGAGGGAAGTGTTTTGTCCGTTTCTTCATTATCTTTGTGCTTGTTCAACATGGAACACGGGTGGAATATTCACGGTTCTGGGGGCAATTCTCCGAGAATCACCATAGAGGGAATTAGAATGCTCTTAATCATTCTTCCATGAAAAAGTTCGAAATCGTACAAATCAGATAACTTTTTTCTTAACTTGGTATTTCGCAGCCTGGTCTTTGTGCGGTTATCCTTACTAGTATGATGTCATCAGTCCATGCCAGTACAAGTTATATTACTGTGGAGTAATAGGACACAATAGTTCATGTAACCCTAACAAGAACACCCAATTTATGCACCCAGGGCAACTCGGTAATGAATGTCGAGTATGTGCGCCTCCATATGAAAGTCGAGACGCAACAACTGTCAAGAAACGTATACTTGTCGAAAATCCCTCCCGTACCTTCCTCGACCACCCATTCCATTGCGGCGACTGTTCAGCCGGCTGGTCCGGGGCGTCTCGTCGAACCATGTCGCTGGCGATGCTCCTCTGCCCAGACACCAGAGTAGTGTCCTGATTCGACATTTTTGCCTCCTTGTCGGAGCTCGAGACGTCGTAGCCACCACGTACAATACTAGCCCGTACCCTCCTCCGGAGTCGTGGAATCCGGGTGCGTCGAAAGAGTCGGCGCAGTCTACACAGACAAAGACAATGGCGTGGTACTCCCTTCTCCCGTCCCATTTGACCGCCTACGAAACATGGATTGTGCGTGCATTTGTAAGTTGACGACTTTGTTCGCCTTTGGCTCTGTTTCTGCGTGCCTGTTTTCGTTCTGCTCTCCGTCCACCTTCTCTGATCGATTCTGACATCCAATTTAATGTGTCGCAGCTGATTCTGGCGATCATCAACATCGCCCCCTGGCTCCTCGCCATCCTCTACGACGTCTTGTACTACATCTGCCGCCGCATGTGGCATGAAGTGCCCGTTTGGGGTGGACGGGCCAGAGGGGAACATAGACCACGAGCACCCAGTCTTCGCGATAGGGCGAGGAGGATGAGTTTTCGAGATCTGGTGACCGGCGGCATAGGGTTGGGCATGGGTCGGGAAGAGCAGGACGGCGACCTAGGAAACGAAAAGAGCAAGGGCCAAAAGGGTCACAGGAGAGGTTTGAGTGCGGAGAGTATAGAAGAAGAGATGGACGATCAGATGGAAGATGGGGATCAGCGCAAGGCGTGAACATCCATGTCGAGATGCAGTTACAACGAGATACGACCACAACACCAATGCTACGAGCACACTCTGGACTAGCAGCTGCCATGGGCACGATGGGTATACGTGATTCGGGATCCCAGTACAATATCGATAAGGACGGCTCGCACTGCCCGCGGCCGCCACAGACCGACCTGCCAGACGTCAAATGGCACAACAGAATGTCGAGCAAGCCGTCCCGCCGGGCCGCGTTCTCCAAAGGAATGAATGCAGGGACGATTGGTTCGTCTCGAATTCCTCTGCACGACAGACTGACAGAAGCACATCACCAAGGGACAAAGCCATTTCTCATCTCGCCACCCGAAACGCTGCCTCAGTTAGAACAACCAAGTGCAACGCTTTTGACACAACCATCTCGGTCTTTGCACGACCTCTCGGAAGTCGTCCCTCCACCTTCAGCCTTCCGCAGGGTCCTGCAGGGCAGAAGACGACCGGGTCCACTCCTGCTTGCTCAACACTTGCTTAAGCGACCGACGGGCTCTACTTGGACCGTCGAGAGCGGTGAGACCCGCAGAGGATAGAGAGTTGAAATAACCGGCCAAGTTTATTGGGTGCCTTGAGCGATATGCTGTATGGGACATGCATTACAGGAAATATGGAAGTATGCCAACGTTGGAAGGTGGATACGAGACAGGACAGGACAGGTTCGGATGAGATCCATTGAATTGATCAATTACCGCGAATCGAATCGCATCGTTGGTGGCAACGAAGATACTGGGTATCATACCGTGTCTCTTGTCTCTTGTTTCTTGTCTCTTGTCGTAGGCTGCTTGCAGCACGTCACATGTCGTATGTAATCTTGTATCGAGTGATTTTGATGATTGCTTATAATATCTGGATAGATAAAGATCAGTCCGAAGAAGGGACAAAAGTTAGTCAAGTGCACGGACAGCTTACGCGAGGATGTTTTATGTATCAAGGTAGGTAGGTCAATGTGTATATCCTATGTTGCTTGGTACTTATGTATGTACATAGCATGTGGGTATCATCTATCTATCTAACTAACCAAGACGAGACGAGACGAGACAATACACGGCTTGCTCTCTTTCCCCTTTCCCTCGCCCCTTTATCATTCACTGCCGGAGAGCACTCATTATCGGATTGACTGATGAATTGACCTGAGTGGTCGGTTGGCTGAGCGGCAGATTGACGGGCTGGCACGCTTGCTGGCTGGCTGAATGATCGATCGATCGATCAGATGGATGGCTGGTCGAATCCCTAACGACCAACATAGCGACCCTCGAACGCGGCGTCGACATCTTCATCGGCTTCTCCATCATTACCACCACCGCCCCCCTCCTCCTCATCCACATTCTCGTCCGAGTCGTAGCTTGCTTCGTCTTCGTCTCCATCCTCGTCGTTGTCGTCGATATTGTCATTATCAACTTCCTCTTCCTCTTCGTCGTCATCGTCGTCGTCGTCGTCCTCAGGCGCATTATTCCCCTTTTCTGCCACGGCGGGCTGTCCTGCCGTCGATTTCGACGCAGTACTTCCCCCTGTAACTTGGATTTGTGGAATCGAGGACGAGGGAGCCGTAGACGTCTTTATGGCAGGAATCTGCTGGGACTGCGTTCTGGGCGGCGAGGGAAGTTGTTGTTGCTGGTTCTGCTGTCGTTGAGAGTCAGGTTCCGAACTCGGCCCGCTGACTTCACGCTCTCTCCCACGACTGTCTTCCTCTGCGTCCCCTTCTCCCTCCGAGGCAGGTGTGCTCGCGCTTCGACTCCGTGAGACCGACCTGCTCGCTCCGCCATCACTTCCCTGACTTCCCTCGCGGGCACCATCAGCATCGTTGGTGGGGGACTTGTCGCCCTTCTCCCCCTCCATTTGCTCCCGTCTTTTCTTCTCCCTTCTATCTGCAGCTTGGATAGCGTTTTTCCGCTCTTTGCTAATGTTTCCGCGGAAGAGTTCCAACGGTCCAATGCTGGCGGCGCTCATAACACTGGCTTCCCTGCTTCTTTCGCGCCCACCGTCAGGTCCTGGGGTCGCAGTGGTATCGCTCTGTGCGACGCTCTGGCTGCGGCTTCGAGCTTCGCCTGTTGCGCTGCGCGACTCGCTGTCCTCACTGGTTGACGACATGCCGTAGATGGCTTCGAGGGCGTCATAGTTGATCCGCCGCGAAAACGTCCTGCGGTTCATGAGCATCAGCCTCATGGATTTCGCGGCGCTTCTCTCTCTTCCGCCGACCGTGGTGTTGTCCTGTTCGTCCCCGCCTTCTCCTTCGTCTCCTTCATTCTCGGCCTCTGCACCCTCTCCGTCTACTCTTTCGCCGCCTTCACCCTCGCCCTCCACACCTCTACCTCTCTTTCTCCCGCCGCGCTGTTCCTTCAGATAGCTCACGTCTCCCCGGCGACCCGGTCTCTTCGTCCCATCCTTTCTCCTCATCCTCTCCAGTTTCCTTCTTCTCTCCTCCTGCTCCGGGTCCAAGCCTCTCGCCCGCATGTCCGCCTCCTTCAACTCTTTCTTGATCCGCTTGGCGTGATCCTGTCGCAACCAATCGGCATTCATACTCACCCACACTCTTTCCTTGATGCGGGTCTCCTGCTCAGACAAGAGACAGGTAGAGACGTCTTCGTCCGAGTCGAATTCTGAGGCTCCGAGAGTTGGAGAGAGAGAAACGATGCCAAGATTACCAATGTTTGTGTTACACGGGGGCCCCGCTCTCTTGTCCTTTGGGTGTGGGGGAACGGTCTCAGTTGGGTCGACCGTGAGATCTATAGTGGCTGGTGGTTGGCCTTGTTCTCCTCCTGGTTCAGAAGATACGCCACCACTGGGTAGTTGTTCCTGTACCTGCTGTTCACCTGGAGGTAAAGTCCGGTAGTTTGGATCGAGTTCTGGGTTGTCCCGTAATGCTTCTGCGATACCTTGTTCAATTTCGTTCTCAATCGCGATTTCCGCCGCTGATGCAGGTGGTGCTTTCCAGTGCGCAGATTTATGTCTTCGCTGTCGAGGCGGCGAGGATTCTGAGACGCCCTGGCCTTCGCCATTGTGCGATGATGAAGGTGTTCCTTCTTGCGAAGCGTCGGTTTGTTCAGGTTGTGAGTCAGCAGGCGTCTCACTCTGAGTTAGAGCTGGGTCAATCGCAAGTAGTCGAGCTGGGATCTCTGGTATCTTGTAGCCTTCTGCATCGATGCGAACTCGCTTTGCCGGTGGTGGTTGTCCTTCCCCCGATCCCTGAGCAGCCTGGGGTCCGGGACCTGTGGCGTCCCCTTCGATTTCTGCGGCGGTCTCTGGAAGGGGATTCTTTCGAGGTCGTCCCCTCTTCCTGCCTTTGGGCTTAGGGTTTAGTGCTTGTTTCAAGACAGGCGGTTGTTGCTCATCAAGCGGGTGTGGTGTGTAGGGCTCCGGGATCCCCTCGCTCCTGAATTTCGTGACCGAGAGCTTACTGGCCTGTGTATCATGGAATTCCTCGAGTCGTTTGTTGATGGTGATTTCGGTAACTTTCGCCGTAAGCACGACCTCGCGAGTGGTCCGGCGGTAATTATTCATTCGAGCTGCCAGAATGACCGCCGCACCACAAACGCCCGAGGGTCTGCGGCCATGGGCGATCCAGTCACGCTTCATCCGCTTTACGATGTTAATAGCATCGCGTTTGATTTTGTCTCGATCGTGCTTGTCAAAATCCAGCTCGTCCACAAACCGAGGCACAAGCGTGGCTGGATCCATGCCCCAGAATTCTGCCGAGCCATCCATTCGATAGCCTCTTCCTTGTTGGAGGTAGAGCTTCTTGACGAGGTCTTGATACACCCTTCCCAAGGCAAAAACATCCATATTCATTTTTTCAGCAAAATCAATCAGCATGAGGCTGTACATGGGTCTGGGCTGGCCCTCGACCTGCTCGGTCTTGCGTCGGCAAGCAGCGTAGAGGCAGGTGACGGCTACACTCTCAATGGTTCTTCCCTGGATAAAGCCAAGAGTATTTGCGAACTCGAAGAGTCTTTCGGCCGTCTCGACTTCGGTATGTCTGATACCAAGGAGAGCGATGTAAGAAGACATGATGTTCCTGGCTTGAGCTTTTGAGCGTTCGCGATTGAGGGGCGCCTCACGGCCAGCACTCCCGAAAGCACCACCATGGTAGTTCCTTTGATGAGACTGGTTTTCACCAACCTGAACACCAAGGGCGGTAATACGGCCAGACTCAGTTTCACCGAATCCCTGCTCGCTGACAAGACCGGATTCTTCTTGTACTAGGGCACCACAACTCTCGCAGATGAGGCCTTGATCGCTGTACACAACCTTTGTCCGGTCGGGGCAGTCGGGATTCGGACACAGAGGCTTTGAGCGAGCAAGAGGTTGGCTGACGGGCGTGGGTGCTCGCACAAGTGTAGGGGTTGATGCTCGAAGAGAACTTGGTGCCGGGCTGCCCAAGCCTTCGATGCGCCCGCGATAGTTGGGTCGGCGGTGTTGGCCTGCCCGGGGCTTTGGTGGAGGCGGCTTGGGTGGCATCGAGGAGCCGTGGTTTCAAATGCGCAGATACTGACTTGATCAAGAAGATTGAGTGGGATTGTGTTGATGGAGGACACTCGAGAGGAGCATATTTAAGAGCACACGTGACTCAGACTGATAGTGATTTTGTGGGCTTGGAGCCTCAAAGGATGAGTCGATAGTGAGGGTGACTGAGTATAAGCGATGAGTGGCGTGAGTGGCTGCCGAATCGTTGGTTCTGCGCTGACTCTCTGAGAGAGTTGTCTTTGCTGGACGTTGTATTGAAGTAGCAGACAGAACTACCCAAAGGAGCACGAGTTGTGGATGGTGATTGGAGGAGACGGCGATCTGAGATGCTGCAATCAGTAACTGGTGGTGGAGAGGACGCAATGAATGTCGTGTTGCGAAAGTGACTCGAAAAAGTGGTTGAGAATCTGCATAGGAAAAAAAGGCGGGGCGGGGGGCTTCGACTGCCAAGACTTTCCTTGCGTGTGAGACAGCCGCACACGGAAAAAAAGGGCGAAAACAACACACCAGCTCTTCGCAAAAGCCTGATTATGGGTGCGAGATCGTACAGTAGCTTAACAGATAGGAGGTCAACCACTTTTGAGAAATGAAATTCTGGTAGTCGAACGTCTCATATTGCAAAGGCTAGCACGTGACTGACAAAGAGGGCACATGCAAACCCCGTGACCTTCCAGCCTTTTCATTGTCACCCTCTCGTGATTCTGAAGTCTCATCTTCTCCCCGCACGAGGCTGTTGACCCCGCACAAGCATAAACAATGACACCGACAGCACCGACCACGGCCGACCAGAAGAGCGCCGAAGTCCACAAAACCCAGGAGACTCTCCGGTCACATCATTGACAGGTAGAATCTCTAGACTCCCACTACTATCCTGTAAGCAGCCACCTCTTGAAAAGAATCAGCTGTCTAGAAAAGCAAAATCTTAGAGAAGACGAAAAAAATGTCCGTCTCGGCGCTCGACTCACGCCTGTTCCAGAACCTCTTTGGCACCCAAGAGATTCGCAGTGTCTTCGACGATGAAGCCTACACTCAGCAGATGGTCGACGTTGAGCTTGCCCTCGCCCGCTCGCAGTCCAAGATTAGCATCATCCCGGAAAACGCCGGAGAGATCCTTACCAAGAAACTCACAGAGGAAGGATTTCGGTGAGTTCGATAAAACCCCAGTTATTACCAAATTGAGAGAGTCGGCACTCATCTGGCGGACGACGCGGTAGTCTAGACTTCGACCGCCTCTCGCGCGAGACGGAGATTGTGGGATACCCTGTCCTTCCTCTGGTGCGGCAGCTCGTTGAACATGCGTCTGGTGAGATGGGCAAGTATATCCATTGGGGGGCCACTACCCAAGACATTGTAAGTCATCATTTGTTGGTGGGATGCGAGACTGTCTCCTCGTCACTCCAGGACAGGGGCAATATCTGCATTGTTGACCACCAGTCATCTAATATCCGGCTCTGGTGTAGATGGACACTGCCTCCGTGCTTCAGATGCGCAAGGGGCTGGAAATCGTCAAACGCCATTTACAGGAACTAGAAAACATACTGCGGACTCTGTCAAAGAAGTACCGCGACACACCGATGGCGGGCCGGACACATCTTCAGCACGCTCTACCCTGCACATTCGGCTACAAATGCGCCGTCTACCTATCCAGCATCATCCGTCATTCTGAGCGTCTCCGGGAAATCGAGAACCGGTGCCTTCTCGTCCAATTCGGTGGCGCGGCTGGGACGCTTGCTTCCCTGGGGTCCGATGACACTGGTCTCCGTGTGAGGGAACAGCTCGCGAAGGAGCTCGGTCTAGGCAACCCAAGTATTACGTGGCACGTGGCACGCGACAACGTGGCCGAAATCATCAACTTCCTCGCCCTGGTAGGAGGTTCGCTTGGCAAGATCGCGTACGACCTGATCCTTATGTCGTCCAACGAACTGAGCGAAGTGGCGGAACCGTTTGTGCCTCACCGCGGCGCGTCGTCGACGATGCCGCAGAAACGGAACCCTATCTCGAGCGAAGTCATTCTTGCAGCCTCCAAGCTTCTCCGCGCCAACGCGGGTTTGGCGCTGGACGCCATGGTGACGGATTTTGAGCGAGCGTCGGGTCCTTGGCATCTGGAGTGGGTTGCCGTGCCTGAAGCATTCGTCCTGGCCGTTGGCGCCTTGCACCAGACCAACTTCGCTCTGGGCGGCCTTGTAGTCAACACGGACGCCATGATGAAGAACCTGGTATCCACGAGGGGTCTGATCGTCGGAGAGGCCGTAATGATGGGCCTCGCCCCGTTCCTGGGCCGGCAACAGGCTCACGATCTGGTCTACGAAGCCTGTAAAGAGTCGATTGAAAAGGACAAGGCCCTGTTCGACGTGCTGAAAGACCGTGCCAGCATCGCGGTCTACGTGTCGGAAGAACAGTTGAAGGCGCTCTGTGACCCGACAAACTATATGGGAGCCAGTCAGCTCATGGTGGACCACATTCTCAAAGTCTGAGCCAGAACTCTGGAACCTGCACCTAATGGCACAAAGCGGGATACTCGAAGTTTGTTCTAGATTGGCTTTGTAATCAATATGCCTTGAGAGACTCGAATGCTCCACCGAGAAGAGCAATTCGGTTGACGATGGACTTATCGTACGAGCTGAACGTGTATAGAACTTGGCGGCCAGGCCACCCATCCTTCTTGACAAGGCTAGCTTCGTACAGGATGGAGAGGTTTTTTTGGAGAGGGCCACACTCTATCTCGATATTCCCGAACTCTGTGATTAATTGTTCAATACTGCAAGGCTGCCAAGCCAGGACTTACCAGACACAATTTCCGAAGTGGCGGTGATTGTACAGCAATCAGACTTTGACCAGAAAGTTCGGTCACCAAGATGGGTGGGGTTGTAGCTGACGATAACGATCAATGGTCGTGGGCTGGTTTAGAAGTCACACACATATATAGACATGTCCTCTCGAAAGCGCCGCCATTTCGGACTGATAGTACTCTCGAGTCGGCAGCAAGATTGACCCAAGAGAAATCGCAATGTCTGCATACCTTGTGACAGGCGCCGGCCGCGGGTTGGGACTTGAGTTCGTCAATCAGCTGTCCAAGCTGCCCGAAGACCAAGTTTCCACCATCTTTGCGGCAACAAGATCTGCTCCCTCAGATGCTCTGTCGGAGCTCATCACTCGTTCTCACGGAAAGGTCGTCCACCTGCCGATGGTTATCACCGATAAAGACAGCATCAAGAGGGCGGTATCTCAAGTCGATGAAACACTTGCCGGAAAAGGACTTGATGTCCTCATCAACAATGCTGGTGTCATGCCTTGGACCATGAATGGAATCGAGACCATGGACGACATTGGGGATGTGTTCAAGGTGAATGTAGAAGCTGTGCACGACGTCACGGCAGCATTTCTGCCCCTACTACGAAAAGGTGTACAGAAGAAAGTGTTGAACATGTGAGTTGTGTGGCTGTCATCTTTAATATCCACGGGTTGATCAAGGCTAACCGATGCGGATACCATCGCAGTACGTCAACGCTTGGGTCCATATCAATGGTTCACGGATATGTGTTCGCATCAACACCAGCGTACAAGGTGTCCAAAGCCGCGCTGAATATGTTGACCGTGCAATATGCCTTGGAGCTGGGAAAAGAAGGCTTCACATTTCTGCTGGTTTCCCCTGGTGTAAGCCGAGCTCTTCTCTTCTTGGCCGCTCATATCGCGCACTATGGGATATAGCTGACTGACGTCTCCGAATATTCAGTGGTTGAAGACCGACTTGGGTGGAGATCAGGCGGATCTGCCTGTCGAGGTGGGAGCACAAGCTACCCTCGATATCCTGTTTAAGAGCACAACAGAGGACAATGGGAAATCCAAGAACATCCTCGTTCCCGGGTGGGAGAATGTGCCAGGACCAAATGTGTATGACGGGAAGCAAGTAGCCTGGTGATATTATTAGCTGAAATTGGATAAAAACACCAGCGAGCGTGACAAATCGACGAGGGATGCGCAGAGTAGTCGGACGCTGAGGTTGATGCATTCCCGCTCTTGCCGCGGTACTGCCACCGTGCTGAACTTTTGATATCCACTAGCGCAATGAATTGCAGAAAGTCAGGAGAGACACATTCTGGCATCGTAGCTGTAGCTGCTTCTTGTCCAATCCACGCCGGCAGCATTGTGACTAGGTCTCGTCGATCTGCTTGGCATTTACTACTGGTATTCGACAGAAGTTGCCCAGAGTCTGGACAGAGGAGCCGAGTTCCTCCGGACGCTATCATCTCGGCACAGGTTCATGGGCTTGCCAATCATTGCCTATAGGGAAGCCAAAGGGGACAAATTGAACGAGTCATCGCCGAAACTCGAAGCTATCTTGCTGTGGCCGGTTAGACATGCAATAGCACCGGACACGAGTCGACAGTGTGAGGCGTTCCATGGCAGATTGTTGGAGCCACTGGGGTTTGTGGATGACGAGCAGGGCGACAAGACCACGGTCTGTCTAGTAAGGAAACCTGGCCACGTACACATATTAGCCGTTAAACAGGACATATGTCTGTCCAACCATCAGGCACAAGACCTGGGCAGCGCAACTTGAACAATGTCGATATTTGACATGGTCACGATTGGGGTCCGTTGGCATAGGCAGCTAGATGGAAGATGGAATGATGTGACTGCGGTCTGGAAATGCGCGCCCTTGATCATCTTGAAAAGCCCTGCCCAGACGTCTCTTCTTCAGCCACGTCATCCAGGCTCGACGGTCTTGGAGGGTTGTATTTGGTCGAGGAGAGTCGGGTCATGGGAGGCCTTTTCATATTGGGGCGCTGGCGGCACAGAAATCAGCTTGATGAAACAGGAACAGGGAAATAGACTGACCGGGACTACTGTAGTGAGATGAGGAAGGGGAGGGTATAAACATGTAACTGCTCACGCTACTGCACGTCGTACCTTGGGCTGTGATGGTAGGATGAATAGAGAATTGGATGGTGCTTGTGGATCTCCTGATTGTGTGCTATACCGCATCCGCTGCAAGACTCCGAGCTCTCCTGTCAATGAACACGAGTACTTGGCATACGAGGTACGCAGCGGGCGTCACTGCCCCCCAATTATGACCCTTGATGCCCCCCCC